ACAATAATCTTAATTATACAATAATTAAATAAAGTTATCTTTTGTTCCTCATAAAAGGTCAACGTAACAGATCGGNTCATAAAAGGTCAACGTGACAGATCGGAAAAACGAATGTTGTCCAGCTCCGAGCGACCGGTTCTCACCGCCCGTCGGTCACCGCAAATAGCGCGACCTGTCGGACGTGAAGAGGAAGCGCCGCGATCGCCATCCGGTGGTAACACCAGAAATGAGAAGCGACCGCGACANGCACGCTTAGATGCGTGTAAGATAGCCAACCGTTCGATTAATTCATTTATATCGTCCCAGTATACGTATTCTTTTCGTTTATTCGTAACGGATAAAAACGGTAGTCCACTACCAAACTTTTCGTTTTCACTAAACAGTGGTTCACGTCCGGTAAATAACTGTTTTATAATATTTTTATATTTATATCCTGGATTAGTTTTCAATTTTCCGTTTTTGTTTCTATGAACTCTAGTGTGGATAAGACAGTTTTTATACGTTAACAGATCATCAGAAGTGATTAAATCGATGTTGGGTATCTTTTTAAATAATAATTCATGTAATCCTTTTGTCAATGACACTTGTTTTAGACTACCGACTTTTATGCTACCCATATGTTCATCAATGATTACTGTTTTATCGCCCATCTTAAATTCACCGTTATCATTAACGGTTACGCCGTAGACTGCATCAAAATTCGATTGTTGTGGTTTTTGATATTGTATCGGAGACGATAGCACAACCGTATTATTTTTATCAACGTTATCGCTATCATCAGAGCTATTTGATTTCTGATGATTAAAAAAATTTTTTGTTTGATGTGCAATTTCTTCAAGAGGTTCAACAATAGGAGACGCATGCTTGCGTATAAACTCTCTAGTATCGTCAACACCGCGTTTGAGTTGTAGTAATTTTTTCCTAATACTTTTTTTAGCTTTTATAATACTCGACGTTATATTTTCCTCAGTCTCCATTTTGTACTAATAACCAAGTGTTTAAAAATCACTTCTTTTTATATAAATATCAAAGCATTTCCGATACCTTCCCTCGTTTAACGGAAAATCTTTCGCTATCATCAAAAATTCAAATCTCCCACTATTCCAGCATTTGGCACACATTTCTTTAAATTCTATAAAACTCATGTCCGACGAACAGTGATCATCGTATATGTGTTTTAAATTAGTTTCGTCTTGTTTGTATAAAATAATCATATTCGTGTTGTCTCTAATGAGTTGTTTTGGTATACGAGAATACGTCTGCGATAAGTAAAATATATCGACACCATTATGTCGCCCTCTACAAAAATACGATGCAATGTTGTTTTGTTTTTCACATACGACATCATCGAATATAAATATAGAATTAGGAGTTGCGGTTTCCGGTGGTATTACTTGATCGTTGTCCGTGTAAACGTTTATGTTTACCCCTTCAACATCATTGATAATATTTTCTAAAATTTTATACTTGCGCTGATCCGGTGTTTTTGTATAGAGATAAACGTTTTCAAATTTTAAACCGTTTTCTTCCGTCAGCAAATTATACATAACGTTTGTTTTACCGCAATTAGACGGTCCACAAATTATACAACGAATACTATCAGGTAGTAAGGGACCGTGTTTCATTCGTTTTGATTCGGATTTATTCAAATCAATATTAGAAATCGGTAACTTACACGTTTGCACTTCGAAAAACATTACGTATAAAAGATTGACGCAATACTTTCGCCGTTTTAAATGATGGTTCGATGTCGACGATCAAACAATACTAAACGCGGTTACGGTATAGTCAATTCTCTTATAAATAATCTTCCAGTTGAAGTTCATTGGCCAACGTATCAGTACCTAGGACCAGGGACGCGGTTGGAAAAGCGATTGGCTCGTGGTGACCCCGGAAAAAATCCGTTGGATTCGGCAGCTCGCGATCACGATATAGCTTATAGTAAATATAAGGATCTTAAAAATCGACATCAAGCCGATTACGTGTTACAAAACCGTGCTTGGGAACGTGTTAAGGCGAAAGACAGTACGTTTGGAGAAAAATTAGCGGCATACGCTACTACCAATATAATGAAAGCGAAACGCAAACTCGGGATGGGAGTGAATTTCAACTCGATTGTCAGTTCGAGTAAAAGGGCAATGCGTAATATGAAAGGTAAAAGTGAAAAGAAAGCCAGTGTCGTTGCACTCGCAGCGGCTAAAAAAACATTCAAAAACTCAGCTCGAAAACCTACTACTCCTCGCACTATAAAAATACCAAAATTCGGTGGAGCGCTGCCCTTGATTCCTATTTTCGCCGGTTTGTCTGCTTTAGGATCATTAGCAGGTGGTGCCGCGAATATAATCAAAGCGGTAAACGAAGTAAGAAAAAATAAAGACGCGAAAACTCCTGTTAAAATCGGTAGCGGTATGCTTTTAAAAAGAGGATCAGCATTGTATTTGAAGCCATTTCAAAAAAACTAATTCATACGCTACCCAGTGATCGTCCGCTAAACAGTGATGATATAATAAAATACGCCAGATCGTTCAAAATATCACATTTTCGTAACGTCTTTTCATGAGACAAGTTACCTAAAACACCACGAACTTTTGAATGTACCGTAGTGAATTTAGATGATGATACGGGTAGAGGTACACACTGGGTAGCTTATTATAAAAAAAATAAAACTGTATTTTATTTTGATTCGTTTGGCAATTTACCACCGCCTTTAGAATTACGTAACTACTTAAAAGGCTGTCGTATTAAATTTAACTATACTCGTGTACAAGAATTTGATACGTTCGTGTGCGGACAATTGTGTATGAAATTTTTACTGGAACAATGCAACGGTCGTTAACGTTATCTTTTCAAGGTAACCAATCTAGAAGNGTTTCAAGGTAACCAATCTAGAATGATCAGTACTTTTTTTCCACCCATAGAACTAGATGGAAGCGCAGAATTGGCACTTTTGAGTTTACAAGCGTGTAATTCTAAACCAAACGTTAGTGAAAAAAATAATTCTTTTCGCGTTCAAATCGATACAGATAAACTCAACACTTCAACGTCAGTTAATTCTTCAGTAATTGATTTAACAATACCAATCGGATCATACGAGCTAGAGGATATAAGTAAATACTTATCGAATGAATTGAGAAAACATAATATTATTTTCACTTTAATGTCCAATGCGAATACATTGAAATCAGAAATGTATTGCGATAAAACAGTGGATTTTACGGCAAACAATAGTATTGGAGAATTATTGGGATCTAATAAACGAATGTTTGAAGGTGGTGTCGTACATGAATCAGAACAAATGGCTAATATCAATCCATTATCATGTATAAGAATAGAGTGTGATATCGTACATGGTGCATTTGTTAACGGACGCGAGACGTGTTCAATTCACGAGTTTTATCCTTTGGTGTCGCCCGGCTATAAGATTGTAGAATCACCTAACAATCTAATTTATTACCCTGTGTTGACTAATCAAGTAGATAACGTAAAAATTGAAATTAAAGATCAGAACGGAGAACTTGTCGATTTCAGAGGTGAGAGTGTAACAGTTCGTGTTCATATCCGTTATGGGAGTACGATATAACGTTAAAAGAAAACGTTTTGACGACATTGACAACAGTTGTGTTTCAAAATTTCCAGTGTTAACAAAGGATAGCTTGAATACTCTCTTAAATCTTGGTTACACGCTTGCAAACCATTATGGAAGACATTCTGAACATACACGAAAAACCATACTTCGAAGAAAGTATAACAAAATTTGAATATCATTCGTATCAACCGTTTTCTAGTAATGCGCTGTCGAATAACGATGAAATACGAATTGCGATACAACATCAAGATTTGTACACTCTACCCAGCGAATCGTTACTACACATCGAAGGTGAAGTAGAAAAAAATATGGAATCGGTGGGTGAAGGTGCGTCATTTGTTAAAATAATTAACAACGGTATTATGTTTCTGTTTGATGAAATTCGTTACGAATTAAACTCGGTCGAACTCGATAAAATAAGAAATCCTGGTATAACGACATGTATGAAAGGTTATGCGTCTTTTCAAACGGCTAACCTTTACCGATATCAAAACGCCGGATGGAATGAGAGCGGTGAGAGTAAGACAAACTTTGAAGTTTGTATACCCCTTAAATTAATCATGGGGTTTGCGGAAGATCATCGCAAAATTATAATAAATTCTCGTCAAGAACTTATATTGCATAGATCTAGCGTGGATATTAACGCGTTAAAATGTGAACGAGGCAATGGTAAAATAAAAATCGCGAAAATTATGTGGAGAATGCCGCATATAAACGTCGAGGATGGTGTTAGATTGCAACTTTTGAAGACATTAGATTCTCGTCAACCACTTTACATTGCTTTTAGAAGCTGGGAATTATTTGAACATCCATATTTACCACAAACAACAAAACATTCGTGGGCCGTTAAAACGTCAACGCACACTGAAAAACCTAGATATGTGATTATAGCGTTTCAAACTAAACGTAAAAACATTATATCTGCAGACATGAGTCGATTCGATCATTGTTCTCTATCATCGCTCAAAGTTTTTTTAAATTCAGAGTCTTATCCATATGACAGTTTAAACATCGATTTTGATAATGATAAATATTCAGCGTTGTATCAAATGTATTCATCGTTTCAAGATACTTTCTACAATATCGATAATGATGACCCTATTTTGACTAAAGATGAATTCAAAGACACTGCACCTATGGTTGTCATCGATTGTTCGAAACAGAATGAAAAAATTAAAAGTGCACCTGTAGACGTTCGAATTGAATTCGAAACCAAGATTCCTATACCAAAAGATACGTCAGCATATTGCCTTATATNGCATATTGTCTTATACTACATGATAAGATTTTCGAGTATAACGCTATGACTAGCGAAGTACACAAGGTGGTTTAATTTATGAAATAAAAAATTAATATAAGTATAATATTTTTTTTAATTTAAAACAATTACTATTGTACATAATTAGTTATAATTTTTAGTTATTTATGTTTTACATTTAATGATTAAATTTAAATTTATTTACAATATTATACATTATTAATATCTTTATAAATTTATTTATTACTATTGTTATTGAAATAGTTATTTAACTTTTTTTTTTTCCAATGTTTTTGTTCATATTCTTTGAATACAGCTAGTGATAATTCATCTGTCTCTCGAGCACATTCTTCGTCGTCAAATTCAATATTCCAACTCCTAACGTCTTCTGAAACACGATAATAATTTTATTACTATTTAAAACAGATTTATAATTTTTTTTTTACTTACTTATCATTTCTTGGTAATCTGATGTCTTTACATCATCAACCCACGTTCCCTGTGTTATTAGGTCTAATAAATCTTCTTCCGTATCAAAATTCAACCATGGATGTGTTCCGAGATGAAGACAATTTCCATTAACTGATTCTATTATTATAATAAAAACATGAAAATTTTTTAAATATATATAAAATATTAAACACATACCGTGTTTCATTTAACCAAGTTTGATGTTGCCCCGCATCGATCATCGAATATGATGCAGGATTTTCTATTTCATTAACTATATTAATATAATAATCATCCATATTCCAAAAATCTGGTAATAATTCTTGAGACTGCGAAAATATATATATTTTATTATAATCGCATAAATAAAATTATTTTTAAATTACTTACCATTGTTTGCGAAAGTGGTTCAATTTTCATCTCGTTTATTATATCTGCGAATTCTTCTTCGCCAAGTAGTGGAGACAGTGGTTCACTTTTCATATTATTTAGAATTTATTATTTCGTTGTGATTTTCCAAATGATCTTGTTGGTCATCGTTTTTACTAAAAATTTTAATTTTATTTAGTATTTTTAGCATAAACAATTTAGTGAAATATCTACCTTATATTTTCATTTGTCATCTGCTTAACATCCTGATTGGTTTGATGTTTGAAATCCTCAATGAATTGTTCCCATATACGTTTAATGATACATTTATAATCGAAGGTAACTATTTCTTTGTACAGTGCTGTTGATGTCTTTGGCAATAACGATATATCCATACTTTTCACGATGGAATACATTAAATTTTCGGATAATACTAAAAACTTGTTTATAACCAAATCCTTTACTTTTTCGTAAAATTCTTTACTTTGTATGTACAATAAGTTACATGTTTCATATTTCTCTTTGGTTACTTCCAGGAGACATGACTTCATTTCTTTCAACGCATATAGATTTTCTTCAGTCAATGATATACGCCCCATTTTTTCTTCTTCGCTACCTTTACCCGATATTGATAGATAACTTTTCGAGAAACATTTCGATTTTACAATGTTAAAAACGGAATTCAAATAAATTTTTGATTTACACGATTCATCCATAAATGAAATAACTTCATCGATTAATTGTAAAAAATTAATAAATTTATCGACATCCATCCATAAATACATACTTGGAGATAATATTATCATTACGGGAGAGTATCGGTCGTTTATCCACGTGCAACCGATGTGTAGAAATTTTCGCTCGACGAAACTCAAATTGAAGACCGACGTTGCTAGTATAGAAAACTCAGGTTGAGGTTGATTCCGAATACTCATTCTTATATCTTTTCCTCCAGTTGTCATTTTCATCATGCTCATCTTGAATATCACGCTGTTATACTTCACTGATTACACATACGAGTAAGAAAACGAAGATACAATACGATTGATTTTCACGAGCGATTGTGTTTTATACCAATATTAAATAACAGGAGTGAGGGAAGAATACAATCATCTTTGAAGTGGGAGGTTGTGAGGCGCTATTATTTGTTATCAAATTGATTTTTTATTTTGATAAGGGAGGCGCTAATAATTTTGATAAGTGAGGCGCCGGAGAAGATTATAAGTGAGGCGCCGGGGAGATTATAAGTGAGGCGCAAGTGAGGCGCCCCCACAAACACACATCATAACCGTAGCCTACATCATAACGGCCGCGTACTGTTGCCCCTCCTTCAGGGGCCCAATCACCACCGCCTCCATGCGGGGCACCTTGGCCTTTAGTTGGGCCGCAGAAGGACCCTTCCATGCTGATTTTGGAGGAGGAGGAGGCTTCGCCTTTTGGGCGGCTGACCTTTCGCCCCGGGCCACCTTTTTTTTTTTTTTTTTCACCGCCGGCATGCTGTGGCCCTGGAACTACCGTGAGGTATTGCTTCAGGGCACCCAACGTCGCATTAAAACTGCTAAAAGAGCTGAGTCACAACACGACGTTGCCTCCCCCGTTAGCCGGATCCTAGAGTGGTATCCGTTGCCCAGGTCGCACCACGTGGAGGTGGGGGTTGGACTTAGCTAAGGGTGGGCATAAAAGAATTCACAAACACATAGAAACATACACAAACGGTGAGGAGAATGGGAGATACCCTAAGTAGGCCTCTCCTTTCCTCCCACCTTCTTGGGGCAATCCCTCGCCCTGTGGCCCGCTGCCCTGCACGTGAAACACGCGCCGGTCCGATCGACGCCGTTACAGGCCGTTTGCACGTGGCCCCTTTCGAGGCACCTGTAGCAGCGTGGTCCCTTATCCTGTGGGACCCGGATCCGGCACGTGCCCCATCCCACCCGGAGTCGTGTCAGTCCGACCAGCGGTTGCGAGGCCCTGATGGAGACCTCGCACCACGTGTAGCGGCCCTTACCACTACCATGAAGTCGGACTGACACCGCACCGACCGACACACCAACCCCTTCTTTCGAGAGGATAGTGGTCAACGCCCCTACGACGTCCTCTTCCACTATCCACTTTTCCACGTCTAACAGCATGAACGCCGCGGACATCACTGGGCTATGTACGCGGACGTCCATGCCGTCCAACGCCTCGCTGACTTTGGCGGCCAGCAGGTCGGCCTGGGCACCGGTTCCCGTGACCTCCAGGAGCACCGCTCCCGTCTTGGTCCTGCGGGTACCGGAAACCACAACGCCCAGCGCCTGAAGATCGACGCCTTCCATCACCCTCTTGACCACGACCGAATATTTTTGGTCCTCTTTAAGAGGACCGATAACAACGGCCTCGGTCCGCGGGGCCTTCGCCTTTATGACGGGTCTCCGCACTGAGACGGGAGGTTCGGGGTTTGGATGAGGTTTCGCCGACCAGTTAGGAGCCTTATGGCGGACCACGTCCGACCAGGTATCTTGCGGTGGCACCGCAGGCGCTACCACGTTCTGGGACGGCAGGCCTGGGACGCCCGCCGCAACCGCAGTCTGCGATTGTGGGGCGACACCCGCTTCACCATCGTTCCTGCCATTAGCCTTCTTACGCCGGCGTTTCCGTACCCGTTTGACCACCTTGGCGGTGGGTGGCAGGTCGCCGTCCGGTGCGCTCTCCCCAAGGGTATTCGACGCAGCGACTCCGGTGCTCAGTTCGCCGACGCTCACTGCAGCCTCGGGGTGCTCCGTTTGTGTTCCCGCTTCCTTGGTGGGTACCTTCTCAACCCGACCCAGCATGGCTCTTTCATCGGGTGGGGCCTGATGGACCCCAACTCTTGACGACGGCTTCCTTCTCCTCTCTCCCTCCAGTACCGCTTCGAGTTTCTTCGTCGCTTCCTGGACCTCTCTATGGACTCCCATACCTCTCCGTTTGTCGATGACACCACGGAGTACTCTGACTTGGTCGGCGACTTCGTTGACCATGGTCGGAGTCGCAGTCATTTCCTCCGCAGTGTCATTCCTCCTTTTCCGGCGTGGTTCAGCTGAGCTTCTTAACTCAGTCAGAGCCTGGCACGACAGGGCTATCTGCTCAAGAAGGAATGCCAAATGAGTATTTGGCACGTCCTTCATGAGGCTTCCCTCTACCTCCGCGGCTCTGGAGAGAGAGACGAGGTGGTTGAGGCCAGCGTCAAACGTCTCCTCATCATCACTCTCGTCTTCCCGTACCACCGCCCTCCTCTTCCCTGGATGACGCTTTGGGGGCGTCTCCATCCGGAGGTGGCTGAGTGCTGGAGACCGTTTCTGCGATGTGCCTTCTTCTCCTAACGATGGCTCAGCTTCCTCCCCGCCTGGTCCGTGACCAGTACGCATCACATCATCTTCATCGGTGTTTGGACCGCTCACCAGTTCGGGCAGACTAGGTCCCTCCACGGGTGAGTTTCCCGAAGCACTTTCCTTCTGGGCTAACCAGCTGGCATACTCGTATGCGTCCACTGCATCTCCAAGACCCGTGCCTGCGGCGACAAGAGTAGGGTTACTTTTGTGCCGGGACAAGATCTCGCTGAGGGCGAGCTTGGCGGCTTGCACGACACGGTCGGTCGCGGTGTCGCTACCGCCCCTCAGTGCCGACACGCAGCGAGACATAAGGTTGTCCCTTTCTTCCTCTTCCTCTATCCCATCAAAGGGGTTATAAGGTATAACCCGTTCGGGACTAAACCCTACACCGGCGGAGAGGTCATCTCTCATCATTCTGAGGATGGAGGTCACCGAACTGCGAAAGTCTGCGGGCGACCGGAAACCCCCGTGCGGAAAACACTCCATCCGTACGCCTTCTAGGTTCTCTAGGTTTGACTATCTGTCAAATTCAGAGCGGGACATAGGGATGTCGTTACAGAAACGACCCCTGATGCCCGACCACTCATCTACCACATCGCGGTTGAGATCTACACTTCCGGCAGTAACCTCGGTGTCCCTAAGGACACCGGAGGATGCCTGCTCCCCACATCCTCCAGCAGTAACTTGGGCGCGAACGCCCCCTGGACCCTGCCTCAACAGTCCAACGGTTTTTCCGCAGTCGCTGGATAACGACCGGGTCAAGCCTGCGTTAGCACTCTCCCCAGCCGGTCCTGGAGTCTCCGAAACTCCTGGCACCGTAACAGTTTTTTTATCCTGGTGTCCTTCCATATTTGGTTTTGAGGGTGTCCTTCCGTGCGTTTTACCTGCCGCCAGGGGATTTGTTTTCGGTGTTACCTTCACCTAGGTGGTCACCTTACCAGGCTATCGGGCCCACCCGCCCGTTGTGAAATTACCCTCGATCGCTACCGCTTATTCGTCCACTTTAATGTGGCTTATATCACGGTTACCCTACATATCTGCAGGGTTAACGAGCGAACGAGGAGCTCATTGTCCGCGACCGCTTATTCGTCAGTCCAAATGAATGGACTTCTTATTTCGCGGCTAACCTGCATATCTGCAGGCCGTTCCTCTATCCGCAACCTGAGGACGCGCCCGATTCCCCGAGCTAGGGACACTGCGCTCGTGCCGACGTTTCGTAGCCCCGTAGAGCCCGATCACACTGACACTGTAACACAGCGCAACGGGGCTTTATCTATTAACTGTAAATATGACACTTATGAATATCTACAATTTGCTGTATTAATTGGTAATCATGATATGACATCAGCTCTATTTTTGTTGGATGTTACATATTCAATTTTAAATTGAGATATTCTAATAGAAATACTACATAACGTTGTAATCTACCTGTTGTCATTATTGGTACACCTTTCTTTGGTTCAAAAATACTTGTAAGTGATTTAAAATCCGATCTAATAGTAAAATTTAAACCCCCTAAATAATTGTTAAATTTATTAACTCCGAATATAAGTGCTTCTTTATCGACTTGACTGTAATTCTTTTCATCTAAATTAAGTGTTCTAGACATAAATTCCATAGGAAACTCTTGTTTTTTGTCTTCTATATGAGATAACATTGATCCTATCCCAACACGATGCATCACATATTAAATACGTTAAATAGTTTGGATCAAATCAAGGTTCAAATAAAATCAAACCAAGACAATGCATCAAATGTTAAATACGTTGGATGGTTTGGATCAAAGTGTTTCAATATCCTGTTAGATGTTATTTCTTTCTTTATCTGCTGAAAAGCATCTTTACAATTATTATCAAAATTAAATTTTATATCTTTCTTCAATAATTGCGTTAGTAGAGCCTGAATTATTGATTAGTTGGGTATAAATCTTTTTAATAATTTATAAGTCCGATTGATGCTTGAAGTTGTGTTTTATTGTCTGGATATGGAATTTGTACTATGGCCTTTATATTTTCTGGACTTTGTTTGCAACCTTCTTTATTGATAACATAATCTAAAAAGTTAACTTCATTTTTTAATAATAAACATTTTTCTTTTTTCACAGTTAAACCAAGTGATTTGATTTCAAGTACCTGTACTAAAGTATTTAAATGTTTTTCAATGCTGTTTCCAAATATTAAAATTTCATCAAAATATATCCTGATATTTTTTATGTGCCTTAACTTTTCACCAAATCTATTTAAAAAAATTCCAACAGAAGTATTAATTCCAAATGGTACTCTGTTATAACAGTACACACCTTTATGAGTACTAATAGCGGTCAATTATTTTGATTTGCCATTTAATGTGAGTTGCAAATAAGCCTGGCTTAAATCTATAATAGAATATTTACATCCTATCTTTATAGCTATTAATAACTCTCCCATTTTGTAATTGGAGCTCTTTCCATTCACAAAAATGGATTTGCTGTACCTTTGTAAACTCCACATATACGAATTTCACCTGATGGCGTCACTGTAGGTACAATGGAAGTTCCCCACTTACTATATTTTATTTTATTAATAATTCCCTCTAATCTATCAAGCTCTTTCTCTTTAATTTTCAATACTAATGGTAACATCCTAGGCTGTAAAAATTTTGGTTTTGCACCTTCTTTTAATGATAAATGTACTTTTGGTCCTTTTTAAATTCCTAACTTGCTACTAAATACTCCAGGAAATTTATTTCAAATCTTTTTTTCAATTTCACTTTTTTAATTTTCAACACACTTTTTTCTTTATTTCCAGATATTTCTTAATACATAATTTAGGTAAAAAATTCATACGTTTAATCCAATCTCTACCTAGTAACATTGGTCCTTTAACTTTAACTACATACCATTTACCTATAAATTGTTTATTTTTGTAATTAACTCTCACTTTAATATGACTCAAAGTTTCGACTGTTTCGTTAGAAAAATATTGTAATTTTAGTCCATCTTTCTCAAGTTTAATATTACTAAATTGTTCAATGTAATCTGATTCAGATATTATTGATACGGTTGCACCTGTGTCCAATTCCATGTTTACTTTTTTATCATTTACTACCACTTGGATTCTAATAGGTTCAACTCTAAAAATATCTCCATTCTCAGTACTCTTTTTCAAATGAAATAGTTTACTAAAACACTCTGATAATTCACCATCTACTACTTCATTATTTTCACTTTGCACATAATTTTCTCTTTTACTGTTATAACTTAAATGACCTATTTTAGAACAATTATTATAAAAATGACTTTTGTACTTACTATCCATGAATTTATGGTTGTTTCTTCCACAGTACGTACACTTGAATGCCTTCTTTGGTTCTCTGTTGTATTTCCTGACGCTAACACCTTGATTGTTTTGTTTGCCATTGAAATGTTAACGGTTTCGATTTGATGGGTGTCCTTTTCTTAAAGTTGTTTTGTTATTGGTATTGAACTTCTTTTGACCCTTCTTTATGAAGTTGACCTTTTCTCTGTTAGTTAATGTTTCAGTGTCCTTTAACGCTGCTTTTACTTTTTGTGCTATATCAATTGACTTTTATTGAGTAAGATTCTCATATTTTTCAAACCTGAACCTTTTCTTTACTTCGTCTAAGAAAATTCCGCTTACAAAACTATTTCTCAACCTTTCTGTTAAATTAGCACCAAATTTACATTTAGTAGATAATTTTTTGATTTCTTTGATATACTGTTGAATACTTTCGCCTTTTAATTGTACCCTATTATTAATAATACTCTCTCTGAAATAATATATTGTTTAGGATTATAATATTTCTGTAAAAATTCTTTTAGTTGATCAAACGATTTTGTTTCAGGTTTTTCAGAAGTACACAAATCTTTCAATATTTTATAAGTTTTCTTACCTACCAATGTAAGAAAAGTAGGTACAATTTTTTATCGACTATATTGTTACATTCAGTATATAAATTAAAGCACTCACAGTCTTTATAATTTTCATCAAATGCTTCTATATTACCCACAAAAATCATAGTCATATTACTTGGTAACAGTATAACACAAGGTTTTGGATGTTATAATGAGACGACAAAGTTGTTTTACTTTTTTCATCTGTATTACTAATACAAGAGTCTAATATAGCAAGCTCATCTGAAATAATTCTTCAAATAATTTATTTTATTATTGTAATAATGAAATGATATTTTAAACACAAGTCATATATTGAGAGTTTTGAAGTTTAAGATCTCTTTGTTCTTTAAATTTTTTTTTGTGTTTGTTTATAATTTCGCATAAATTTAAATCATAATCAGAACTAGCCATACAACCTTTTCTTTGTTTATCTTGCTTACACGTTAAGAATAATTTAACTACTTCAATTGTCATCATTTCCATTGCGTTTGCATGTTATATGTCAAATAAATCATTGAATTTTTCAATAAAAACTTTTT